GGTAAAACTTCCCCTTTTCTTCTCCCTGGGACCTCAAACAAGGGGCAGACAGGAACTTATATGTGGGGGCAGGTCTCAGGGGAGGGTACAATCTTTAACAAATCAGGAGAATTGGGAGTGAAAAACCAGGCGGGAACAATGTATAAGCCAATAAATATTCCAAGGGAGTAGAACAGTTTCAGTAAACTGATAAAGTTTGGGGAAAGAGAAATTAGCAACTAACAACAAGTAAAGTGATGAAAAATCTGGGAAAAGGCAGGAACAAAAAGGAAACAGCATAAAGAAAACTACCAAATTACAAATCAAACAATAAACCTACTAATAATAGAAAAAGCACATTGCAACAACCCATCTGCAAGAGCCCTTTGCAAACGGGACAACAGAAGACAGCATGGGCTAAATTTGCATGGAAGCTGCCGCATTTATGTTCAGGATGTGCTGGGGAAGAACTCAGGCCACAGGCACAATGCTTATATATTACAACTTATAGAAAACAAAAACCATTCAACCTTTAACCCATGTAAAACTATAGAAAAACCCAACTATTAAAAACAACCTGTAACTCATTTATCCCTTGAAGAACCCAACACCCAGAAAACAATCTGCAAACAGAAAAACAGTTTGTAAACAGGAAAATACTCTGTAAACAATTCAAGTCCTTATATTTACTGTCCATGAGGTAGGTGGTCATTTGCGATCCAGTGTTCTGTTGAAGAGACTTCAGAATGCTGTCCAGTGTCCTTTACCTTGGATTTACCTAGGAATATTGTACTGTTATATGATTTATTAGAAAACGTAAGAACATGACACCACTTAAAACTCAAAAAAGGGGTGGTGTACCTTTACTCCAACTTTTCTTCCCTTTTTTCTTTGTATAGTAAGTAGAAATATAAATAAAGCATGCAATTTTTAACAGCATTAATAAGGTAGGGGGTTGCTGGTAGGTCTCTCTTTCACTATGAACAAACTTGGAGGGCTACTTCCAGAAAAAGCCTCTGTGCCTGTCGCAAAAGAAAAAGGGTTTGCTTTTTTGCACAGAATCTGTACCAGCCAGGTTTATAGGTTGATTAGGCCAATGACTTGGTTGGGAGAGATTTCCTGCATTCTACATTTTAGAAACAAGTTTGTATTAATATCCAGTGCAAAACAAAATAAAAAGTTTTTAACACTAATTTCTTAGTGGACATCCCCTGGATCTTACCCATCCTTCTTGAAATATTGTGACAATAATTAGTAGGAGTATTAAAAAAATACATAACAATACACACACTAATGCTTCCCTGATGCACAGCAGTAATAGCCTGAGACAGAAAGATAACCCTTTACTGATCATGTGCTTATTAACTTTAGCTTTAGCAATTGCAAACAAAATCAACAAATACTGTATTATGAACTCTTTACCCTTTGCAAATGTTTTCAGTTTGTTAGAATTTCTGGGAAATTAAAACCTTGATTTATTAAGAGGTAATGTGGTTATAATGCTTTGTGGGGAAGGAAACTTAGTGTCTGTTTGTCTCTTTACCATCCATTTGCAAGCAGCTGCTGGCTTCTCGCTTGGCTGGATGACAGTATATCTTGATTTCAGCTGCTGTGAGACACTGAACCCGTGTGTCTGATCCATCTCTACAGGCAGACTTGACCGTCTCTGTCCCTGTGGTACCACACTCCTGCCTGTCTCCCTGCACTGCCTTTTTCCAAGCACAACCTTTGCAAAGGCTTTTCCCATGCTCTGCTTCTAAGTTCTGCAGCTCTCTTTGGAGGCAGACTCGGTGGTGGAGCTGCTCCCACTGGAGGTGCAGCCAGGCTCCACAGAGGCCTGGCTGTGTCCCTTTGAGGCTGGATCGAGGGGAGAGCTCACCCCGTGACATCGGCTGGATGGGGGAGTGCTGCCGGGCCAGCTGAGGAGGGTCCCAACATCCAAGCTTCCATGGTCTTGTTTGCAATTTTAGTCCACAAAACAGGTTTTTAAACTCTTGTAGCACTTTCTGCTGTCTGCCGAGGGGTTTTTTGCCACTGTCTAACCAGTGAGTCTAGGTTTTACACCGGAAGTCCAGTTTTTACACTGTTCCAGCTTCTATACTATGATTCCAGCTTCCTGCTGTATTTCTCCGGTTCCAAACACCGATCCAGCTCTGATGCCCTGTAATCTGGGTCCCACCCCAATTTCCAGCTCTAGGCTGTTAATCAGGTTTTGTTTTGTAGACCAAAATCCAGCTAAAACACCATGCGTTTCCTTTGCTCTGTGTTGCTGAGTTCTTATCACTTTGGGGTTCACCGCGTGTTAAGTCATGTGTAGGAGGAGAGGGGCAAGGAGACAGAGACACTCAAACACCAGTGTTGGTGTGGCACAGAGGAAGTTCATTTTTCCAAGCCCTTCCTTATAAAGGACATTTTGAAAGACCTGGTCTGTATGTTCTCTTTGGTCTGAACTCCACACTCCCTCGGGATCTGGCCAGTGAAATGCTTGCAGCTTCATAAGAGACCTGATTGGGAGAAGCTCCTGTCATTCAATCCTGGGGCTTGGTAGCAAGCTCACGTATGCTATTTGGTGACAGGCCCAGTATTGTTTAACTTGTTCATCAGTGACTTGGGGGAAAGGGGCAGTAAGTTCACTGACAGCACAAAGCTGGGAGTAGTGGCTGATACCTCAGAGGGCTGTGAAGCCCTTTAAAAAGACCTCAAGAGTTTGGAGAGACGGGCAGAAAAGAAAGGTCTGAAGTTCAACCAAGGCAACTGCAAAGTCATACGCCTGGGGAAAAATAACCCCATGCACCAGTACAGACTGGGGGCCAAAGTGCTAGAAAGCAGCTCTGCAGAGAAGGACCTGTGGGTCCTGGTGGACAGCAAGTTGTCCCTGAGCCTGTAGTGACCCTTTGTGGGCAAGGCAACCAATAGTATCCTCAAGTGCACGGGGACAGTATACAAAAATAACATAACTATGCATCAATGAAATTTCTCTTTACACATAATATTTGTCTCTTAATTGTGAGACCCAACCATCGCATTACCCATTTATAACATCTACAAAATGGTTTTGGCATTTTTAAGCAAAGATGGTGAAAGTGGTTTGTGAAGGAGGGAGGAAAACCAGCTACTTTTTCTTGCAAAACAAAGCCAGACAAAGCAAATTAATTACCTTTAAAAACTCCCCTGCTGCTTCTCCACATTTGCTGGATATTGCAAAATTTGACATAGAAATAGCCCTCACTGAGGAGAGATGTTCTTGAGTTTTCTACTGAGGAACTAGCTTTGATTGAAATAAGAGATTGAAAATTCACATAGTATGTATGAATAATGTAATTTGTATCCATTATCTTCTTGAGACTAATGGTGCAAAAGCTCCTTGTTATCTGTATTTCCCTGCCATACATACTATATATAGAAAAAAGAAGAGAACAGGTCCCAGCATTTCCAGAAAAACTATATGTGTCCTTGCCTCTCGCACAATGTTTCTTGTAAAGCACGGCAGGGATGATTTGTATTTAATAGTGATGTTTTTGCCCAGGTTTTTTTTGGGGAAAAAGTAGTTAACAAGCAGTCTTGGTTTAAAAGACAAATAAAAGGTGGAAACCTCCCTGGAATGCAAAAATGACCCCTCCCTCCAAATTATTGTGACTTCAAAAATTTCAGGGCTTCAAGGCAAGAATATGGGAAAAAGAAGAAAAGTTCTTTTATATATATATATATATATATATATATATATATATATATATATATATGTAACAAGATGGAACAAATAATAACAATGATGATTTTTAAAAACCCCAATAATAGACTTTTTCACCCATTAAGCTATTTTCCCTTTGGTGTAGTTACAACCACAACAGGGGCTGATGGTGACTTGGGTGAGGCAGAGAAGTTGCAGTACCTCCATTGCGGCTTCAGGGGGCACTCTGATGCAAGAGGGGGACCTCCCTGGTGGTGGTACTAGCAGCTCAAGTGAGAGAGGGGGAAGGGAAAAGGAAAATTACTCCACCAGGCACGCATGCGAGTGGTGATCCGTCTTTGGCGCAGCTAATTGGAGTTGGTACATGCTGGGAAGGAAGGCAGGGCTTTGTCGTGATGTTGCACTACCATACAGAGGTCCAGCCGCGGGCAACCCCGGCTCCAGGCATCTCACCATGCCGTGGCTTTGGGGAGGGGATGGAAAGGAATGACTCCCCCAGGCTCCCACATGGACTGTGCTTGTCTCTCTCGGCGCTGGTATTTGGAGAAGTCTCAGTCAATGGGGCAGCCAGGACTCTTTCTCTCTTGCAAGCAACAGGCTTACAAGCAGGTGGCAGGCAGAGCTCCATGGCAGTGTTGAAACCACTGTGCAGCAGAGGTCCTAGGTGAAAAAACTCTGACATGACTGTCTCTGCTCCAAGACGGGAAATGACTACTCCCACACAGCTAAAAACTCCAAATCCCTGTTCCCCTTCCCAAAACCATTTCAATGGTATATCAGAGTGTTTGGCTACTGCTTTTGTTTCTTAATCACTGTCTATTTACCTAGAAAGCCACCCCCAGCATCTCCCTGATAACAAATGGGAAGAAATTCATTCCAGAAAACCTAACCCACAGAAGTTCATAATGAGTATTTCATGTGAAGCATCAGGGGGTTTGGCAGGGCCAGAACATGATGAGTAAGACAAGCCATGCAAGATGTCATGCCAATCCCTGCCAATCCAAGGGATGGATTTTTTCATGCAAAACATTGTGCTCATTTGATGGCCCAGCACCTGAACAAGCTCAGTGTTGGGGCTTGGCAGGGTAAGTGTTGTGCTGGACAGGAGGCTCATATTCTTTGGATCCAACACACAACTACTCAAAATCCACTTGAAAGCTTTAAAAATCCTTTGGGAAAAATTGATGGAAAGCACTAAATTAAGGCTGCGTTCCCTATTTGTTTGACAGATGAAATATGATCAGTGAGGCCACCATACAATGTGTTGAATAAGTACAAGAGAAAACAATACAACTTCCAATTCTAAAAAGTTTTTTTTCTAATTGCTATGTAGGTGGTCTTTGAGGCCTTGCACAATCTGGAGCCTCGTGGGTATGTTGTCGGATGGATCATTGCCATCAGTTTGTTGGTGGGAATTCTCATCTTCCTCTTGCTGGCTGTGCTCTTATGGAAGGTAAGATAACAGATGCAACATAAAATGAAAGCTAATCCCAGGGGAAAAAAGCTTAAATTTATCCTTGTATTTAACACCCATTTTCTTTAAGAGCTGAATAATTGTCTACTCCATTACAGAAGTCATTAATCAGCAAAACCAATTTAATAAACAAGCTTTTGTGAGGGACATACAAGAACTAATGACATAAAGAAGTGAAAAAGTGGGGTTTTTTAGAGCCTGGTTATTAAAAGCTGAAATCTCTGATAACCATTTCAGGACAGTGGAAGGTCTCAAATAGAAATCTACTGTTGTATTACACTTAGATACTTTGCATTTCTATGTTTTTATGATGACTGAGGTTCACTGATTTGAACTGAGTTTCCTGAAAATCAGGTCAATTTTGCTTGACCAGCAAAGAGATTGGGTGTGTGTCTTGCAAAAACTAGCTGGTAGCTACTTTCCAAGAGAGAGATGCCTTTGGGAGAGGAGTATACAGCAATACATTTTTCGGATCCCTCAGACAAAGAGTTCCATATCAGTAAAATGCCTTACCAGAGCAAGAAGCATCTGGACCTGTGAAAAGACAGCCTTCACATCATCTTTGATAAAGTGCAATTCTTTTACCCAAGCACTGTTTCAGTATAAAGCTGCCCTAATGCTAACACTTGCCAGCAGCCATCTGGTGTGGTAAATATGAAGGGTAAGGAACTTCAAGTGTTTTAATTTTTCAGTTCTCTGTTACCGATCCATAAATTTAAAAGACCACAGTCAGGGTCAGGGACCCTGAGAAGTAAATCTCAAATGCACACATGGGAACAAGTCCAGCATTATTTTGATTCCCATGGCAGAAATCTAGGAGCTTGACTTGTTAGTAGCCTGTGTGCTGCAGGCTCTGCTAGCTGATTGTGATGAGACAGGAGGCCACAGCCCCAATGTGCTGGACATATTGCTGCTGGTCGTGAAGCTATAAAATGGATTTAAAAACCTAAAACTGGCCATGCAATTTTTATTTTAAATTATGTAGATGTGTGTATTGTTGGGTTATAGATTAAATATGATATATAATATGATATAATATGATATGATATGATATCTAAATTTTATATTGGTTATAGATTTAAAGTACTTTTATAATCAGTTTTTGAAGTTTTCTAAATACTTACTAGCCATGTTCATTGGGAAGACAATGTCTGACCACAGTCTAGAATATCTCAAAACTTCTGTTTCTCTGGCATTTGGGACATACTTCTGCTTTCTGTGTCAGAAATAGTAAAAGAAAAAAAAAGTCCATGCAATTAAGATAGAAGAATAACCTAAGATTGGAAGAGGCCCACGGTTTATGTCTTAATGACACACAGTTTTGATAAAGGATATACTGCTGCTGATACCTAGATGACTGATTTCATATTCCTCATTTCCTGTCATAAAAAGACATGAAATAAACTGTTTGAAAATGTTCAAGGTAAGAGAAATATCACCCTGTGAGTCTTCAGGTAAAACTTGTACAATTTCAATTCTTGCTCTCTGCTACAGTTAATAAAGTTCTTTGCTTCCTGGGTGTCGTAGGTTAAGAAGGAAATGAGTTTTTTGGGAGGTTGTGGTCAAACCAATCAGTGCTTGGATTTGAATACTGGCACCTGGTTTGGCCACGGAAGGTATGGACCGCCTCTGAGAACACGGGGTTAAAAGCAAGAACTCCCAGAACCATCTCTTGGTCCAGGTCCATGAAGGAGGTCAGAGCTCCCCTGCCCGGCTAGGGCTGGCTGGGCGGAGGGGAAGCCATGCGGCCGGGTGAGGTAGGCAGGAACCTTGGGCAGAGGAAGGGGGTGAAGGCTTTGCAAGATGGAAGGGTGGAGGAGCCCTGAGAAGCATCGGGCCTCCCCCGCCTGCCCCCCAGGAGATAGAGAGCCAGTGCCTGTGCTGCCTTGAAATTCGATATCATGGAGTGGCAGCATGGCTGGCCAGAAGGAGAAGTGGGAGATGCGGCGCGAGAAAGTGCCCGGCTGCTGTGGGAGTTCTGGGCAGACAGACACAAAGATTTTAACCCCTTTCTTGAATAATGGAAACTGAAATAAATGGGCAGGAGATCTTTCTCCTTTTTAATGCTTTTATTAAAGAGATTCAGCTCAGGTGGGGAGAAATCGATGGGTTGCGCCCACGCTGCCGCTGCTCCCAGGAGTGGCACAGAGGAGGAGGGTGATGCAGCTTTGTCCGCTGGTCTGCAGGCAGAGCTGGGGACTGCGTCCTCACAGGAGATTAGCAGATTTCCTGCTTTTCGGTCCAACACTTCGGGTCTCCTCCTTAGTGAACATCCTTTCAGGCCAGGGTGAGAAGCAAAAAGGATCCAAGCAGGCACTGGACTATGTGCCCATCCTTAGACATCACCTAGGTCCCCTAATTCATTTGCGTACGTGGTCCCAGGCCACTCCTATTCTCCTGGGCTGCGTGTCCAGGTGTAGCTCCGGGGCAAGCATTGGGAGGACAATGGCTAAATCACCAACCATTAACGGGCAATTAAAGAACTCTTTACAATTAAGCTAATTTAACAGCAACTGGTCCCACCGTTTTTTTTTCTCTGTAACCTTAAATAAAAATAGGTATCTTTTTATTCATAACAGTTCCCCCCTCTTTTTCTTTGATCAGGCTTAATCTTAAGTTTAAGCTTGCATCAATTTACAATTTTTTTGCTCATTAACATATACTTTCCTATATCTTTTGTATTGATTATAAATTTCTTGAGCACTTTGGTAATCATACTTACTTAACTTCATTACTTTTTTTGGTTTCCTCAGGTTAATCTCTTTAGAGATCCTTAGGTTATTCTGTACAGCAGATGTCACCGTTTTAATTAAACAGAAAAATAAGGACAAACTCACAAGTGTACACACAGTGAAGGTTATAGTTTTCCAACCCTTTTTGAAAGTCCATAGATTATCCCAACTGGAATCAAGTGCAAGAGTCTTTTCATGATTTCTTACATATGCTAGTTTTCTTATTTCGTTTAAGGTGTCTCTCATGACTGCTACAGTTAATTTGATTTGATAAATTACTGTTTTGGTTTGGGTGATTTGGTCATTAATATGATTAAGAGTTAATGAGGTCTGATTTGCTATTGTTTGTAACTTCATAATTTGGTTTAGTATATACTGCTTCTTCAATTTAGTTTTTCTGAAATCATTATATATAGGGACTCTTGAACTTGATCCAGATTCTTTGGGTAATATAAAGAAAGTTTGTCTTATAATTCTAATGATGCAACTGTCAGACCAGTCTCCTGACCATTTAGTGGATGCTGTGGTACCACTGACCCAAAACAGGTGTTTAGGGGTTTCCCAATATTTAGAGATACCTTTTCTTTCGACCAGATTTACCAGGCTTGTTTTAGTAGTATCATGTTCAAAGTACCACCAGGCTTCTCCTACAGGGTACTCTCCTAGGAGTGGCTGCCTAAAGGTGGCGGTGTTCTGGGCCATCCAATATATTTTCTTATTCTGTTGAAAAAGGATCAATTGGGAGAGGTTAACACAGTTATAGCTTAGGTCGGTGTGGACTCTTAGCAAGGAACTTACTTCTTTCTCATAGAGAGATTGGTAGCACTCACTGCACGGCTCTGCTGGGCTCCCCAGAGCTCCACCAGCAATCAGAGCCATCACTACTACCCTTCCCAAGAGTCCGGTATGGGTCATCTTGCACAGCCTGCCCACCCGGGCTTGCCTCTTGAGGATTTACTGAGAAGAAGTTTCCAAGTTCTTTCGAGTCTCTTGCTCCTCTGTTTAAACCTCTCTTGATCTGTCCCTGCCAATTTGGTCTCTCCTAGGGGAGCACTCTGCAGAAGATTAACCTGGAGTCTTTGGTACTAAGTTGGGAGGATTTAACCAAAATTACTTATTAACAATTTTTAGCTTTTACAAATTTTCTTAAAACACTTTAAGACATGTTATGATTCTAAACCTTTTTCTTTTATGCAATTCAGTCTTTTTGGTTCTTCTTTTTGAGTGTCAGCTTTAAGTCATTTGGTCCTTTTATAATAGTATATTCAGCTAAATTAACTCCTGATGTGGTTGAATCCTGTCCAGAGTTAGGGTGTGAGGGTGCTGTGGGATCTGGTCCAATGCCAGAGGGAGATACTGATGAATTTTGTCCAGTGTTCAGGGGTGAAAGTGGTATGGTGTCTGGTCCAATACCAGATGGAGACACTGATGAATCTTGTCCAATGTTCGGGGGTGAAGGTGGTGTAGACTCTGGTCCAGTACCAGAGGGAGACACTGATGAATCTTGTCCAATGTTCGGGGGTGAAGGTCGTGGGGAATCTGGTCCAATACCAGAGGGAGACACTGATGAATCTTGTCCAATGTTTGGGGGTGAAGGTGGTGGGGAATCTGGTCCAATACCAGATGGAGACACTGACGAGTCTCGTCCAATGTTCGGGGGTGGGACTGGTCCTTTAATTCTCGTGATGTGGGTCCAACCCTTTTCTCTGGTCCGCACTGCAGAATTAGTGATGATGTGTACCTGAAAGGGGCCTTCAAATTTAGGCGTTAATGGTTTACTATTCCAGGATTTTATCAAAACCCAATCTCCTGGGTTGATGTTATGTGCTTTTGTGTCAAGAGGGAAGGTTTGGGGGAGGTGTCCTCTTTTTCTAAGTCCTGCTAGGGTTCTTCCAATGACTTCGAAATATTTTCTGGTAGCTTCTTCACCTTCTAAATAGTCTCCTGTGCTATAGGGTGTTAACAAGAATGGCAGTCCAGACATCATTTCATAGGGTGAAATCCTTATATCAGACCAGCGTCTTGTTCTGATGCGCAAAAGCGCTAGGGGCAAGCACTTTCATTTTTGTTTATTCGATTAATTTAGTCAATACATTTTTGAGACTTTGGTTCATACGTTCTACCCTCCCAGAACTCTGGGGGTACCACGGAGTGTGTAATTTCCATTTTAGTCCTAAAGCTTCGATTATATTTTGCAATATTTGGGCCACAAAATGTGGACCTCAGTCTGAGTCTATGGTATTCACC